TAAATCAAAAATGTTGAAGATCGAATGTTACAAATAAAAAAATCTGATGTGATCAGCACATAATCGACCGCAATATATACAATACTTCTTTGCAATTTGAAGGATAGTAGTAAGCTTTTAGTTAACATTCCGCGAAAAATGTAAATTTAACTCTTAGTAGAATTTCGTTTTGAACCGCCGAATTCTTTGAAAAGTTTTAGTATTCATTTTCAAGGAAATTTGCCAATTATTTCTTTTTATATAAGGTCCAAAAGTTGATTAACCCGTGACAAAGTCGGAATAAACACTCATATAAAATTTAATTCATAAATTTATAAAAATCGACTCAGCTGCTCGCCTGCATCAATATCGGTTCAGAGATATACGCGTGCACACTCTAACAGACAAGCTGACAAAAATCATGCCGGCAAATAGGCAGATAAATCGATAAACCTTAAAAAAATAGTTTATTTACACTTTTCTACCATGGAGCAGTGCGTTTCTACCGAAAACTAAACATCCGAAACTTGGTTTCATCGCGTAACCTTCCTTAGCAAAGCGGTCGGTAAAAAGTTATAATTATTGATTTTGTTCAATTCTGGACCAGATACAATTATTGTAAGTTCCGTAATTTAGTTGCCTTCTAGTTGTAGCTTAGAGTATTTTATGTGTTAAATGCATATTTAAAAATTTTGCTCTTGGAATCAGCAACTATTTACACGTGAATTAATAAGATTTCCTTGATTATGATATGATATTTGCTTTGAGTTTTATTAAAATGATCTATAAATAATACAGGTTCGCTAAAATTTGAAGCACTTCCCCTTAGTCCTCCCCCTGTTAAGACTCAAATTTTATAAAAGTATTTTATGTTAGAAGTCTTCCCACATTTTTAAGTGTTATTAAGAATTTTATAAATTTTACGAAGCAATTCCATTTTCTTAACTTTTATCCTATATAGTTAAAATTTTTGAGTATTACCCGAAGAGTTGTGCCACAACTTTTTATATTCCTATCTTTTATACAAGTATGTATGTGTACAAATATTTTATTTTTAATATAAAAGACTAAAATTTTCGAATCAATTTTTTTTTCTAATTTTATATCTAAAGTTGCGTTAGTTTTTGCAATACCTTACTGTTTTATATTGTTATACCTATAAAGTTGTTTATGTAGATAAAGTATATGTACAAATAATATTTGTAATATCATCTAGATATTCTATATAATAAAATATTTATATATTTATGAATTTATTCTCGAAAAAAATTACATAAAATTGATGAATTTTTATATTTGCAATATTAAGTTTGTAGTTTATAGGAAATCATTAAAATGTATGTGTATGTTGATCAAATATTATTAACTTTATATTTAAATACATTGCTCTTATATATTATGTATAAGTATACATACTTACAATATAATATTATTTGCTTTATATACGTACATATGCTGGAATTTTATAAACCTTAAATAATAATATTATGAATCTTTTATTTTACTGCAAAATATTTATTAAATATTTCTAGTCGAGACATATGGTTTTTTTTTATTTTATATATATACGAGTATAATATGTTATATATATAACATATTTTCATCTATATAATAGAGCCAATATAAAAGAGCAATTTAATAGCAATTTAGATTTAGATACTGTTTTTGAAATTGTATAATGAACCGAAAAATATTAAAAAATTTATATCTTTGTATGCATTTCTATATACATAAAAATATATAATATAAATTTTAAGTTCAAATTTTTAAAATATTGAAAATTTTATTTTATTAGAAAAGTTTAACTATTTTAATATTTAATAATACTTTACTTTTACTTTTAATAATTTATTATCAAGCGTTTGTATAGTATTCTTAGAAAGTAGATTTCTTAAATTCCATATATTGATGTCTCTATCTCTGCGGCATTATTCTACAACATTTAAGCGTTATTTTATAAACTTCTTCAAATGAGCTCAAAGAGCGAAAAAAAAACACTATAAAGGTCATTTCACACATAAAATATTCAATGTGATGGGGATTGCAACCAAACTCTGTCATGGTACTTGCACTAGTTTAGCTGTTGGAGATTTATAAATCCCTCAATCCAGGGCGATTACAGTTTTACCAAGACTACAAGTAAAGGAAGACTAAGAGTATATCATTTAACCTAATTACAAGCGGGAGATCAAATAAATTGCAAGTCAAAACAATAGATAATTAAATAATACAGGAACAGAAAATATTATGTTGAAGCTATAGATGAAGTCCTTAAAAAGCAGGATCATCTGGAAAAAAATTTGTTCGATGTTAGAGTAGCACTAGACATTCTAGAATCATTGAAGAGAATATTATGTTAAAAATTAAAAATTACATTTTAAAGCTACAAGTAATTAAAAACAAACTTTGAAACAACAAAACCTGCAAAGGATATTGAAATTATTGGGTTGAAGAAGGAGATAAATTAGAACCAATATCTACATTAAAGGACGTAACGAAATATCTGAATATTAGTATTCAACTGCACGACATAAAAAAACGCATATTATACGAATAAATTTTATTTAAGAAATAAAAGTTTTTGCCAAATCACGTAAACATTTTGAAACATTGAAGACATAAACTCGCAACCTTCCAAAACAAAGTAACTGTGCTATCGGTGATTGTCGTATAAAGTTATATAAAACGAAAAATATTGTCACATATCTAAACGTTACATACAAATGTGTGCTGAGTTATTTTATCCGTCTTTATAAAATGTTCCTCTCTTTATTTAAAATATAAAACATTCCTATCTTTTGAATCTATATTCACCTCCTCTATAGGAGGTTGAAATGACTTGTAACTTGATCGCTACAAATTTTTAAATTTCTCTCGAAAGAAGAAATTTTTTCCAGAAATATTAAAATTTCTGCGGTGATAATTAAAAAAGCAGTTCTTTTATTAACTCTATTTTATAAAACCATAATATTACGTACGTATCTATATTTACCTGACTCTAATATACATTTTAAATATTCCCTATATTTTTAATACGAACCTTATGTCCAATTACTATGTTATTAAGTGAAAAACATGCTGTTATCAACAATTGAAATATTGTCCAGGTATAAAATAAAAAATTCCCAATAATTATAAATATTTTATTTGGTTTACCAAGTAAATACGAGTAGTAATTATTTTTGCATGTAAATATAAAATTTACCTATGTGCTTAATAATAACATTTATATACAAAATCCCAAAAAATAATATTAACTGCCATGGCATCTACCATCACAAATAATTATTATTACTAAAGTTGATAGTTATACACTGCTAATACTGAAAATATTACTATTTAATTGCTATTTTAATTTTAAAATATCAAAAAAAAAAATGGAAAATATTACATAATAAAATATAATGAATAAATATGGAAAAAATATAAATTTAATGCGATTATTATGAGACATTTATTACGTACCCTCAACTTTAATTTATTACAATTAAAATTCAGTAAATCATTTCTTTTGTAAATATGCTATTATATGTAATAATTGTTGTAGGTACAACATTCTTTTTGATTTTACAATATTTTTACACATATTTTTTATATGAATGAAAAAAAAATATTGGTAACCCAGGTGGCCTTTTTTATCTATTAATTATTATTAATTTAAATCATCATATTGATTTTTTTAAAAGTAAACAAAGAAAAAAACAATGATGACTTGTCAAATTTGTGGATTGAATCAATCGGCTTAAATTTTGTCCGTTTGAGGATAATTAGTTTTTGTTTAATTTTAATTCGGGAATAATTGCGCACAATCGCTTTTTATAGAGTATTTTTTATTCATCACCTTGTATTATCAGCCACAGATGTTTGGTACACAATAATATTCGTATGTAAAATAGTACAATAAAATAAATAAAAAAATTTATCAATTTTATATGTGTATTATGTGTAGGTCCAATTTAGAATGGACTAGATAATAAAGGATTGTGATTACTTAACATAATTCAATTGTAATGTATAGACCATAATGTATAATGAATAGACTAGTACTTTTGATCTTCATCCTGTATCGCATGATGTTAATTGAATTTCTGGTTCGCACTTTTGATCAGAAGTGTGTAAGAATTGGAGAAACCACCTAATAATAAAAGTGGAGTATGTATCTGGTTTCTGAACAAAATAGTATATTAATAGTATGTATATTTTTGAAATAAATTTACAAAAATATTATAAGGGTTAAATTATAAGTGAGCAGTTGTTCTTGAATAGTTTTATTTCTCTATTTATTACTACTGTATTTTAAGGCGATATGTGAATATTATGAAAGAATTTAACAATTTTATGCACTAAAGATTTTCGACAGTCGTTAAGTAAAAACCTAGACTGTGCTATATGAAAAGTTATCATACACAAGCTGTGAACTAAAGAATTTGGGCCTTTAATATTTTCAAATCAAACAAAAAGTCAAAAAATAAAACAAAGAGAATATGAAGTAAAAACTTGCCTGTTAAGTAAAGAACACAGTGTAGTCTATATGCAATCTAACATTTTATATTTTCAGATGATTCTAAATTTATGAACAAAAATTGTGTGCCCATTTTATTAATTATAGTAATTTTTTTTGCTCTTTGGGATTAAAAATAAAAATCATAAAATTTGTTTTCCGGCGTTAAAAAAAACTGTAAAACTTATATTTGTTTTATAAATTTGATCTTTTTCCAAAAAAAAAAAAAACAAAAGAGAAAATTAATAATGTGAAAATAAAAAAAAATTCAAACATTAATAAACACACAAAAAAGTAGTATTAAAGTTTTGGTTCTGTTCTGTTCTTCAGGGCTTTAATTCAAAAAAAAAAACTATAGAATTATAGACACGATTCTATAAAATGAACACATAATATGAACATTTTGTTCATTTGCCGGCTTTTAAATAGAAAATGTTTATTAATAGTATTTTATGGGGTAAATTTCCCTACATACGTACATAAAATTTTTGCTGTTATTATTTGAATGATTTCATGACGAATGCTTGGATTTGATGATGGTACATACAAAAATGCCTTTTGATAAAAACTGAAAATAAATGTAGGTATGTAATTACACTATAGATATTGAAATAAGTGTACTGATTTAAAATGTTTTCAGAAATTTTTATGCAGAATACAGTTATACAGATCCTACGGTTATACAGGATCCTTTGAAATATTGTGAAGTATTAATCGATATAGAAGGAAAAGCCTATTTGTTTGGTCAAATTTTAATCGGAGCATTGCTATCCGAGCAATTAACCACGAAAAAATTGTAATTAAGTCGATTTGCATAGATTATTTTTTTGGTGTGCTTGCAGGCAATCCAAACCGAATATTGCAGAAGAAGGCATTTCCTTTGAATAGATAAATTTTAAAATATAAATTAAAGGTATAGTCAGCTGCATACGGAAGTAAACGGAGCTTTTAATTTTTAACCTTCTCTTCGCCAAGACCATACTAAATTTCGCTTATATTCAATTAAAATTTCAATTTTATTCAGACCACTCTTTCGTAAATTCTTACACCAACATTTCTTAAACCAAATGACACAATCATTATTGATACTTTAATGGCAAACTCCTCCCTTTTACTTCCATTCATAATACAATTAATTTTTTCACCAATTTAAATTTGTTTAAATATAAAAATTGAATAGAGAATGACTTAATATTTAATACAAATAAAATTTTATTTTGAAATTAAATTGCAAAATAGACAAATGAAAACAAGTAGCGAAAAAATACTTACAAGCTTCTGTTGTAAAAGAAAAAAAATTTCTTCGATTTCCACTCAAGATTTTCCATAGATTTTCTTTTATTTTTTTTTTCACCATTTTTATTTTCAGTAAAAGAATTGCTTTTCTTTGAAAAATTTTTTTTTGTTTCCTTTTGTAAATGAAATGAAGAAAATCAAGAAACGCATAAAACAAGAGACGGTTTTTTTGTTAAATAAAAAAGAATTTTCGAAACAAAAAAAAAATTAAAAAACAGTGCCGATTGCTATCTTTAATTGAATTCAGTATGATGACAATGTAGGCACTCTAGTTGAGCTCTAGATATGTAGGTATTTACTATACTCAAATGTTGTGTTATTGAATAGAGGAGTGGAAGAAAGTCCTATTTAAAACGTTTTGGCTGAATCACGTTGTCTTGAGTAAAAATTAATATAAATTTCAATTCCATGTCAGAAATCACTTTCTTTAGTTTTTTTTAAAAAGTCGAGCGCCGAATTGCTTTCTCATTTAATACTACAACCATATTTCTTAATCTTTAAGAATTTGTATATAATCTTTTAATTTACAAGATTCTAGACTATAAACCTAAGTAGAAACTAGGTAAATTTAGATTTGCTAGTGCATAATTGAACAATCTAGCTTTTATTTTATTAAATGATCCGACACTGAAAATTTTATTTATGAAATACACAAAAAATAAATACAAGACTTAAGAATATTTTTTTTTTCTATATTGTAATTGTTTCTTTTAATATTCCATTCGATACTACTTTTCAATTTGATAAATTTAATTCTAGTGTCTTTATAATTTTACACAAAAATATTACAAATTTTTATGATGTGCCAAATTTATTTTTCCACTTATGTATAAGGTTTATACTTTATGATAGCTAAATAGTTTGTGTAAAAGTGATGTTTATTTAAAAAAAAATTTAAATGCAAAGTAAAATTAATTCACGTATAATTTATTCACGCTATAATATTATTTTTAAGTGTGTGATTCAGTTCAAATTTGCAATTCTGCAATAGAAAATCTAAAAACAGTTCTGAAAACAAAAATGTTCGGCTGTTTAACTTTCATTTGTACATTTATAATTACTTATATCTGGTGTAGTTACCCGACTGGTTTCAGACATAAAGTCACAAAAACGAAATTAGAAATTCTGATCTGATTGCAATTAGGTACTCGTACGTTTAATATTTTTGTATTTCATAACAAATTAAGATATTTTTGGAAATTCTTAAGTGGCGACCTATATTTAAAATTTCGGACTAAGTTTTCTTCTTATTAATGACAGCACAAATTTAATATTGCCAGTAATCTTAAACGCGGTACATTTTGCAGTATAGATACAAAAAACGCACTGCATTAATTGTAGAACTTCATAAAATCTACAAATTTGAGCTCAACCTATAACACTTCAAACGATTATTAACCCCAAGCAAATAAGTAGTTCAGTTGAACTATTTTCCCATTCAGAAATTTATTTTTGCTATTTGAGAACAATTTACTCGTTCAAATGGAGTGCATTCAATTGTAATATCAATATTGTAAACATCTATCTTAATATTGCCGGTAAATGAAATTTTATTTTTATAATCTTTTGTTAATGTGTTCCATTTTTTCATGGAATTTTTCATGGAAAATAAAAATGAAAGAATAAATATTTGTCAAAAAGAAAATAATAATTATGTGTGTAATGATATTCTATGTATACATACAATTTTATATATATATATATATACAATAATAATATATTTAAATTTCTTTTGTTATTGAAAATTGATTTTTCAATTAAAGATGGTCTATTTCTATTCTTACTTTTAACAAATATTTAAAGATTTTCATCTTTGCTTTGCTCAAATTGAAATTTTGTAATTTCAATAAAATTTTTTTTTCTTTTGCCAACGCAAATTTTTATATTTGAAATTGTGTCTGATTTTATTATTTATTTTTCGTATAAATTTAATTAATTTTTAATTTATTTTAGTTGATTAAATACAATTATCAATTATTGATTTAAAAATGGAAAGCGGATAATAATGTTCTACTCATTATTATACTTTAATAAATTATAACAATTTATCAGATGATTACTTACGAGTATTGCAAGCAAATATCATCATACAACAGTAATTTGTAAAGCAATATGTATTCAGCTTAATTCCACTCTTTTTAAATAATATTAAATAACAATTTCAGTCATAGAACTTCTTGACAAACAGGCGTATAATTTAGTAGTGTTAAAAATTTGTTCTGAGATTTACAGTACTGCACATGATTTTGTCTCATTATGCTTTTACCACACCATTCAATTGTAAATTAAAGTGTTTTATTAATTTATTATTGCTTGAGATAGCCAATGTAATTTCCAGGAATCACAAACACAGATTATAAATTTAAACTGGCAGAACTATGACTCGCGTATATTTTAAGCAATATGCCTAAGATATAAGAAAAATACACTTAAAATCAAAATCCTTTAAACAATTAATCGAAATTCGAGATAGTCCTTTATTTATTACATAAATTTAGGTACATATACATATATGCGGTTCAGAATTTCTATGAAATTATTTTATTGTATTCTTGCGATCACGTAAACAGAGTAATAAAAAGTATTACCTTACCTGAACACAACCATATGCTGTTATGACACATGCAAGGGAGATATGATTCTGTCTTAACAAATTGCAAATAAGCTGAACAGGTAAACAAGTTTTTATCTTATTATTCTTACTTTACCTAAAGATTGCAGAAAATTATTCAAATTAAAAACATGTTTACATTTAATATTTCAGGTCTTCAAAATTCTTATATACTGTTCTTATTAAGTCCTGTTGTAAAATCATCCTCCCCGCTTTAAAATTTAGTATATAACCGGAGTAAAATTTGATTTTCAACATCATTTCAATTTTGTAAGCGAAACCAGTGAATAATAAATACCATAATATAAAAATAAATAATGGCTTCAAACGAAAATAATAAAGAAAACTTAACCGAAATAATAATTTTATCCAGTGATGAAAGCGATTCAGAATCTTCAATTTCATGTGATTCATTATATTCTGCGGGATCATCAAATAGTTTTTTAATGCGAAATAATGAAATGAAATCAAAAGAATCTTTAAAACGTTCATTACATTCCGCATTTACTAATTCAACACCAATACAATCAAATTCATCGAAAAGAATTTGTATAGAATCATCAAAAACATTAAATACAATTGTTAAACCAAGTTGTTTAATTCAAAATGAAACTATTGAAGTACAGCAGGAAAATCAACTTGATACAATTGAAAAATTCAATCATACACGTCGATCTCAATTACATAAACACTTACAAGATTTACAAGAAATTCGAATTAGACCGCAATGTTTTAAAACATGCACTGATAATTGTGAATTAGTTTTTTCCGTAAGTGAATGTGATGCATTTCGTTATGAATTTTGGAATTTATCAAATGTTTTCGAAGCATGCAAATATATTGTTAATCATATGGAAAAGAATCGTAATCAACGTAAAAAATCAAAAAATGTTAAAATTACACCAAATTTTTCATATTTTCTATATAAGAATAATGAAAAGAAATCGATTTGTAAAAAATTTTTAATGGAAACTTTGGGTATTAGTGCCAATATGATACAATGTGCATGGTCAAAAATTGAAAATTATAATAGTAATGATAATAAAACTGCAACTGATTTACAAACATCATCATTCAATTTAACTTGCAATGAAATAATTAATTTTTCATCTTCATCATCTGATTCATCTCAAAATTCAATTAATGAAAATTCTGAAAAAGAAAATAATTCAATACAGTTTAGTATTACAAATAAAGAACCAGAAAGTAATCAAGGAAATTCAAATAAAAGAAGAACTTCGCCAAGATTAATTGAAATAAATTGTACAAAAAATTCAAAATCACCATCACCACCGACAACACCGTCTATTGGAATCTTGTCAACACCAAAAAACTGCAACAAAGGTAATACCGTAATTATTGATAAAAAATTAATAGAAAATAATAATATTGAACAAAAAAAAACAACAAATATTAAAAGAAAATCATCTACAGAAAATGATAGTAATATGTCATCATCATCATCAACTAACAGAACAACACGTAGAACATCTCCAAGACTAAATGCAAATTATTTAAATAATTGTACAGACTGCATATCAAATACAAATAATTCGGAGGATTTTTCGAAAAATAAAAACACCACAGTATCATTAGAATTTGAAAAAGAAAATATAGATCCCAATTTTGACAATAATAGTAATGAGGCTACCAGTAATAATAACAATAATAATATAACTGACATTAACTACAAACATAGTAACAATAATAATTGTAATAACAATAATAATGGATTTAGTAAAAATAGAAATACTTATTTAGAGAGAACAAGTTCAAGAAGAAATGAATTTAGAAATCGTAAACTTAAATTGTACAGGGTATTTTAAGAATTTTAATAATTATTATAAATAATTTTAAGTAATTATAATATTATAATATTTTAGTAATTACATACCAGTTCTAATAAATTTTAAACCAAGAAACTGAATATTCTTGCAAATTTGATCTATTGCTCTATTGCACTCAATAAAAATATATAAATTTCTTAAATATATAAATTCGTTGTTGATTTTAGCTTCATTTGTGTACTCTTACAATTTTAAATTGGCGCCAATATGGAAAGATAACAAAAATATTTTCAATCAGAACTACTGATCACATACTTTAATCAAGCAACAATGTTCGACATCCACTTCTATGATAACGTAGCCATATATTTTATGTCCACAAATTTCTAAAATTAAATAAAAATTTTAAAATTCTATAAAACACAATTATTTAATTTATAAATTTTTATAGTGATAAATTGTCAGTCATTCACAATTCACAGTTGTCATAATTCTAAGTGTTGACTTGCATTCTCTTGTAGATGGCATATAAAATTGTTTGTGTTTATTCATTTTAATTTTATACTTTAAAATTTTGAATAGACACACTTACAATATTCTCAATTTAAACAAATTTTCTCTTTAACTTTGAGCATTTTCCTTATGGGTATAAATATGATATAGATAATATTATATAAAATAAAGTTTTTTTTTATAACACTTTAGAGAATTTAAAAATATTTTTGAACGATAAGAAAACTGCGGCTCAATAACGTTGTAACTATCAATTTTTACTTTTTTTTTTTTTTGCATAACTTTTACTTTGAAAACTCTACATTTTTATATTAAAAAATACCCTTAAATTTTAATTAGAAGTTAGTCAATTTCGCTTCAGAAATTGCCAGTTCATGGAGAAACGTTGTGTCGTTCAGTCCTCGCGGAGAAAAATATGATAAATGGCGTTTCCGACATAATTCTACTACAGAAAAAAGGTGTAGAAGTTTTTTGTGGAACAAGGTACTATTAAAAAGAAAGTCATGTTAAATACATATGTATAATGCAATTTTTAGATTTCAGACTGGAAGTGTAATTTCAAAAGTAGAGATTTTTTCAATAACAATAATGAAGCAAGAAATTGATAAATTCTACAAGTTATAATGAACAGAAGAAGCACGTGGCAAAATTATTACCGTTAAAAGAACAGGCTAGAATATAACAGTAAGACCACTACGTCAAGTTTAGTATTGCCTATAAGATAATAAAACAAAAAAATGTTTGATCAGAAAGCTGTTCTATTTGGGATTTTCAATAGATGCTCGACTAATTCGAATATTAATTGAAAAATGAAACGGCAAATTCCTGTGATTCATTTTAGTCTACGGAAAAAAAAGAGGTTTCATTTTAACAGACCAAACAAAGTAGTGTTTAAAAAAAGAATATATATACGAGCACATCAATAGCTTTCGAACAGAGAAAAATTTTTGGCGGCTTCGAAATAAAACTTCTAAAAACTCTGCGTCTGTTGGCTATTTACAAAATTTGTACAAGCTTAAACACCCAGACTCTTCTGTTAACATTTCTTTCTGTTACATATCGAGAAGGCCTTAATACAAAATAGCCGAAAAAAGTGACAGCCAAATTTCTAATTGTATACTTTTATAACTTTGGGTATGAAAATGTAAAATTATAAAATAAACACTAGATTCTGCCAAAAAACCCAAAATTGGGCATACAAACAGCTTTTTGTTTGCGCCCCGAAAAATTGTGAATTTGCTGGTTAAAACGTTAATGGCGCCGAACATTCAAATATAAAATAGAGAGAAAATAATTTTTATTATTTATTTTGGGTATCTAAAGACTTTCTTAAAACTTTTATTACAAACTTTTCTCTTTTAAATATTTCTATTTTTATTGTAAAATAATTAAAATATAAAATGAAAGTTTTTGTTTGAAAATTTAAAAATTAATTTTTTTTTTTTTTTTGTAAATCACATAAAATAATAATTACTATAGGAAAGCAACAATGTTCTTGTTAAAGTGCAGTATAACACTCAATAGACTTTTAAAACTAGAAGCCATGAACATAAAATGATATAGTTTCTAACTACATAATACATACATACATATAAGATTTGAATAAATTAAAATTTGAGGAAAAGTTCAAGTATTTATAGAGCATTTCAAATTTTGTACTTTTAAAAATGTGTTTGTGGTTTGTTAAGTAATGCTTAGGAAATTAAACGATATTAAGCTTGAATCTTTTTATGAAAATATTAATTTAACACCTTAAAAATGTAGGTTATCCACAAAAAAACTATAAAATACTCAGCGTTTTTTATCCAGCATTGAATATGCTTCAAGAGAGCGAAAGTTTTTCAAAAAGAGCGAAATTCTTCCGAAAAGAGCGAAATTTTTTCGAGAAATTTTAAGAGTTTATTGCTATACCTTTCGGTGCCAATAAAATTTATGAAAGCTCAATCAGCACGCCAAATGCGAAAAGAGATCACTTAAAGTACGGGGATCCCCCCATTTACCAAATAAGAAATCGGTTATACATTCAATTCGCTGTGCCAACATTAATAATGTTGAATGAAATTTGTTGAACGTCAAATAATACTCGTATTGTTCCGAAAAAAGAAATAAATTTTTGGGGAGTTTGAAATGAATCTGTGACACAAAAATAGTAGTTGAGGCCTCGCTTAACACAGTTCGAATTTGATTGATAAACAAAATTTGGGCTAAAATATTTTAGAACAAAATTTTCTAAAAGAAACTTATATAATAAAAACTCTACTATTTTCTTTAATCTTTCGCTATATTTTCATTACAGTTAAATTAATTTACTTTAACATTAAAACTTTGAAACTCTTAATTTATAACGAAATGTTTTAAATACCAAAAATAATATTTTATTTTCAAAAAAAAAAAAAATCTGAAAGGAAATTATGGTTGTTGTACTACCGCGCACTGCCTTTACTTGTCATTAAAACCAAAAAGAAAAATATATGCTTTTGCCTATGTATATGTGGAGTATTAGAAAATATGCACAATTTTAAAATTATTTTAAACATTATTATATACATAGTATGTATGTACGTATATGAATAATATTTTTGGTACAAAAATAATTTTAAAATTTTATGAAATTCTCAAAATGTTTTTTTGACTTTAACATTATATAGAAAATAATAATATTTTTTTGCATATCACGTAAAACATCTGAGAAAAGTTTTTATGGAAAATGAATTTCATTTGTAATTTAATTTAGAAAAGTTGATCTTTTAATATTTTCACTTTAAAATTATTTAGTTTTCATCCTTACTTTTATCCAAATCTTGGGTAGGATGGGATCTCTACCGGTTGCAAGTTTATATCGTAAATGTTGTTAAAATATATAATAGAATTTTAGAAAATAAATTGAATTTAATTGTTAGACATTTTATATTTACTCTCAATTAAAGTTTATTGAACAAAACGAATATGAGCATCGTTTTTAATTCACCTAAGAATTATTATGAAAATTTTTATCTGTATTGTGCTATAGAGCCGATTTGAATAACACCGGTGCGGTGCATTCGTTAAACATTTCAATTTTATATTCATTGTTCAAATTATGTGCCAATTGTAGCGGGTTTATTTTTATGATACTCCATAATTGCAATGTCCATCTTTTAATTAATTTCCTAAACCAAAACTAAATAATTCGAACTAATTTTATGAAAAAAAAATTTCAGTGTTACCAAATTTATGTTGCTATAATTCGAAACTTATAATTAAAACTCTTAAATAAACGGAGGTAAAAAAAATTAAAAAAAAAGTTTAACTTTTATCGTTAATCGATATTTAGGCCAGCAAATTTTCCCAAAAAAAAAAAAAACGGTTATGGAATAAGATTGCGGCGATATTACAGGTTTCATGTTTTGTTTTCTTCTTTTAAAGTCCTCTAGAAAATCTTGAATAAATTTAACTGTTTCACTTCTCTCCGTTACCTCACCATTTTTTATTGAAATTTATTTAAAGATCATCTTAACGAAGATATCCGCGGGTAATCTTTAATTTTCAAAACGGCTTACGTTGAAATTTTTTTAATCTATTTATTTTGGCTTTAAATTAGACTGAGTGAAAGAGAAAGGAACATAAAAAAAAAATGAGAAAAAAATCATAAGCCTTTTTTTCTTTCTTGTTTTATTTTTTTTTAAACAAAAAAAAAGGTCCTAAAAGTTATTCTAAATAAACTTTTTTTTTTGTTAATTTTTCTTTTGCTTTCGTTATTATAGAAAGGATTTTTTTTTTGTAATTTGAAAAAAACAAAAACAAGAAAAAAATCCGAAAAACAAAAATTTCATTATGACTTTTTAATTACGTCAACGTTGAGCATTCATCCTTTAATGAGAATCTTTTCCCTTTTTAGCATATAAGTGAGATTTTTTTGTGGTCGGTTAAAGAGAGTTAAAGAAAAGTGGTGATTTTCATCTGATTATATCTTGTATTGAATTAATTTACATGAAAAAAACAAAAAGGGAACAAAAAATCTAAAATAGAAAATCAACAAATGATGATGAAGTGTAGTAAGGAGAGAGAGAGAGGGAAAGAGAGGAGAGAGAGTGATATTTAAAGAGTAATCGGAAGCTCATCACGAAATTTTTAAAAGGCAAGGCAGAAAAAAACAAAGAAGCAATTCAGACCATCCTCTGAGATATTATTCTCGTTCAAATTGTTTTGGTCAAATGGAAATTAAAGTGGGGAAGAAATGTAAAAAAAAAATGGTGAAAAGAGAGTTTAATTCCTTTTTAATCTTGAAGGTAGAATAGTTGGTCTTAGCATTTTTAAGGTATTCCTCGATTATTTAGGAAAATAACGAAAAGCTGATTTCGTAATCACAACTTTTCTGAAATTCGATACTCTAATATACAAGACTCATTAAAGTAATTATGCAAAATTTAGCAGCATTGAAAGAAAATGCTGCGAACGGTACTATTTTCTTAATTCTCATTCATCTCTTTTTTTCTCTTTTGCAGTTTAATTCTGCAGAATTGAGAGTGATAACAATTAATAGGTTAACATTACCAACATTGTCACTGTTCTTTAAAAACTAGCATTATTAATTCGAATGATTTCTCCACGTCAAACTAGAAAAATCGGTAACTAGGAAAAAAACAAAAGAATTTTACTGTTAATCAATTTGGGATGTCATGCAATATTTTAAAAATTTTTGTTTAATATAAAAAATTTCAAGATTATCAAGTAAGAAAAGTAAATTAAAATTCATAAAATTTTAGGAGCAGAGTACAAAAAAAAAAAAAATAGAAAAGCAACTAAAAACTAAAGATGACCATTCCTTAGTTTATATAAGGTAAACACATTGAACGGAGATAGTAAGAGAAACTCTACTCATTTTACTTTTTTACTAAATCCAAAATGTAAACACAGACACACTGAAATCCATAAATTTGCATTATAAATAAGGATATAGCTATAGGTATGTATGTACATATTATTATTAAAGTAGGTATATTTTTGAAAATTTTTGGTTATGAATATCTAATTAAGATGGCGTGGGTTATGTTTACTGGATTGAACTTTTTTTTCCTCTTTGTTGTTTGTTGATTCAGAAAAAAAAAGGGTTAAAAGAAAAAAAAAATTCTTTCTCTTCTTCATTTTCTGTTTAATCATCAAGATAATGATTAAGGGACAAATCATAGAGGTATGGTAGAAAGTCGGAAAGTGGTACATGTGTATTTGTATATACGCAAACCTACGCATACATCATATTATATATATATACCAATATAGAAATTCGATTTTTTTTTTGTTGAAAATGAGGAAAACTTTTTAATATTTTGGCTTATGATAATCACATTTTTAGCCTAAAGGTAAATGATTGTAATAATATTTTAATCCAAAAACCGGTTATATAATGTAGAGAAAATTGAGGTGAGGAATTGAACCGAAAATTTTAAATAAGCACATTTTTTAAAGATTACAAAATTTAAATTGAGTAATTTTTTTTGTGATTATAAGAGAGGAAACTTATATGATTTTAACGTTTAGTTATTTTGGATCAAAAATTAGTATTTATAATTAAAAAAAAAAATTATAATTAAGAATTTTTTATACCGTATTTTGTTTTGAATGTAAT